CTCCAATACTGAGAAATAGTTTCATTGTAATGTCACCTCTACTAGACATTATTCTACTGCACATAAATAAAACCTAGCTGTAGTGATTGTTCTTTGGCAACTTACCAGTTTTGTGTTTTATTGACATGTACAAAACATAAAAACATGCATGTTGCTGTATGGTTCCTCCTCCAGGAGGAGACTGACACAGTTCTAAGTCAATGCCAATAATTAGAAATTCAACACAGTTGAAACTGAATAAAACATGTGAACTGTGGGTGATTTTATGTCTTTTAATGAAAATGACTACATGCAGCTTATCATAGTGGGCTACAGAATAAATACCAGATCAAAAACACTCTTCAACAAGGAATGATGGAGGCCAGTGTAGTTTCTGACTTTAAACAAACTGGAACAGATTCCTCGTCATGTGGGACTGCCCGACTGGAGCAGCCAACCCCTCAGGATCCAAGACTGGACCCAGGTCTAGGATCCGAGACTGGACCCAGGCCTAGGATCCGAGACTTGACCCAGGTCTAGGAGAGTCCTCGCACTGGAGCTTTTCTTTGGATCGAACTTGGTCCTTCACTCGTCTGTACCTTAAAAAATAAATAAATAAAAGATTAGTAAACATTGTCATGTTTGTATCACAAACTCTAAAATAAGACAATTAATACAATTGCTTCTAACATTTTTACTCATTTACAAAGATATATGTTCAATTTTATATTGATTTTAGTTATTTTAATCTTAGATTTACTTTAATATCTTTGAATTATTGTGCCGGTTGCTTGTGTCATTACCTGCTGTTCCTCTGCTGCTGACTGTCTCAGAGTCAGTGTGTCTGTCAGCTTCAGTGTAGGAGACCAGTCTGTGTTTGACTTGTGTGCACGCCTTCCTGAAAAAATAAATCATTCAATAGAACAAATGTTGTAATACCCAAAAGATGAACTTGTGTTATGGAATATTTTCAGTACAGATGCATCCCACTGCTTTATTCACACATGAGAGTAAAGAGGGACTCAAAATCAAAACACACTGATAGTTCTAGTCTGACAATGTTGCAGTGTTCAAATATTATGTATATTAACTACAATGTGTGTGTATGATGCATATACTGTACAGTATATACAGTATCATACACAGTGTGTACTGTATAACATGTATTTATATTAATTATTGAAGATTTGTTTAGTACATGCTTTAACTGATATTCACTCACATTTTAGTACAATTTTATCTTCATGTGTGTTTTTCTCTTCTCTTATTCACCATCATTATTTTAAGTGTGTTTTAATAACTCTGGTTTAATGACGGGTCATATTTGTGAGCTGCTGTAATGTCATATTGACCCGGTCTATCTTGAAAAAAAGATGTGTAAACTGTCTCAATCAGATCTAACCAGCTAAATAAAGGTTTAAATAAAATAATGTGCAGCCTCCTGACAACAGACAGTCCAGGCTCAACACGGGACCAGAACCAGAACTTTGTTGCTGTGAGTGTTACGGTGTGGAGGTTAGCACATTGCATAGCATTCTAAGCTAACTACAGTAGTAGAGATGCTAAAAAAAAAACAGTTCCAACACACACACACTTATACTCCGACATTGTTCTGACATTGTTTCACAAAATGATTTATATAGATTTTTTTTTTACCGGACAAAAAGTGATCGGAGCGCGACGTCTTCAAGGGCAGATCCTTAGCCAGACTCAACGATGTTCTGCGGTGAGCTCCTCCGGTGGAGGTCCTTCACATTTCCTTATTTTTGGGATTAAGTGAAAACTGCGCTTTGCCCAAATGTCTCCCCGGTTGTAACATCCTCTAACCAGCACAAAACAACCATTGCAGTTTACTTAAAAAAAAAAAAACTACATAAAATGAACCCAAAAAAGTTAAATCTGGTCCTCTGGATATTCAAAAAAAAAAAAAAAAAGCAAAACAACAAAAAAATGTAGAAACGTTTCGTCTCTCATCCGAGAGACTTCCTCAGTCTGAGGTGCTGTATTCAGCTCAGTCTCTTAAATAGCATCTTCTCAGAGTGGATCAACTAGTTTGCTGCTGACAACCAAAACCAGCTGCTCACATGGTCAAGAAGGACCATCAGCCTAACAATGGATCATTAGCACACTGATGGCTGTTTACTATTCACAGAGGGCTGAGTGATACTAGCAATAACAGCATTGTAAGAGGGGGACAATTGAACACGTAGGCCTCCACCCCTGTTTAATGATGGACGATTTCTTTTCACAAAGATGGCCTCCTTTACTCCTCTCTCAAACCATTGTTCCTCTCAGTCCAGGATGTGAACATCTTCATCCCTGAAAGAGTGACCGCTGGCCTGGAAATGAGTGTAGACCGCAGAGTCCTGGCCTGATGATGTTGATCTCCTGTGCTGGGCCATCCTTTTGGCCAGTGGCTGTTTTGTTTCCCCGATGTAAGACTGATCACCCTCCTGACACTGAACAGCATACACAACATTACTCTGTTTGTGCCGGGGGACTGGATCTTTGGGATGAACCAGTCTTTGCCGTAATGTATTTTGGGGTTTAAAAGCCACTGGGACGTTATGTTTAGAAAATAAACGTCTCAGTTTCTCTGATACTCCCTCAACATACGGAATGACCACTGGTCTGGGTTCCTCCTTTTCACCTGTTGGCTGACTGGAGTCCTGTTTGGGTTTCTTCTCTGCTTTCAGGAAGGCCCAGTTAGGATATCCACATTGCTCTAGAGC